ATAATAATCGGTGAGGGTGTTGGTAATCGATTGCCAATGAATATGGTTGGCAATCGATTTCCAACCGTATCAGAAATTTGCTGATGATATAATATTTTAAAATGAATAATTTATTATATTTGGAACATAAAAATTTATAAACATATAATGTGCAATATAAAAACTTTATTAATTTATAAAAAATATGATTAGTATTTGTAATATTTTTTGTGCTCAGAAAATTTTGGTATATTACACATGATCTATGAAAAGTTAAAATGTATTACTTCTAATAAGCACTATATATAGAATTTAACTTATATAATACTCAATTTTTAATGATTGTCTTTATTTTCCAAATATATATTTATAAAATTTTCTTATATTGGTAATATGAAATAATAATTGAATCTTTATAATATATTATATATTTGATTTGAGAGTATATTTGTAATGATATTAACATTTGATAACTGCTAAAAATTTATTTTGGCTCTTTCTATTGAATTTAAATTCATAACTTTTCATAGATTTACATGTATAATGTGCCAAAATTTTTGAGCACAAAGTATATTACAAATGCTAATTATTCATATCTTTTATGAATTGATATTATTTCATAACACACATCTCAATATTCTTGATATCCAGATATTTGATTTGAACAAAATACTACCATTCGATTTGTCTAGTTGAGGTGAATCGAATGATAATATTTTTGTTCAAATCAGATTACTGGATGTCAAAATATTATGTCTTAAAGTAACAGATTCATTTTTTTGACACTAACAAAAATTAATCAGCCAATTTAGGATATGATATCTTGATCTCCAGTGATCCATCCAATTGAAATAAAAATAATACCGTTTGGTTTATTTGACTAGACAAATCGAATGGTATTATACATCCTAAATTGACCGATTCATTTTTTTTGGCGATCTATTGCTAACGTTAACGAAAAATTGATATCACTATTTCGAGATATTAATATTTATTGTACATAAGAGTTTATGAACATACGTGTGTAAAAAGTAATGTTGGAAAATTTTGGTACATGATCTACAGAAAGTTATGGGGGATGTACATGTATATTTTTACTTCTGAATATACGTACTACGTATATAGCTTATTAGATGTTGGGTTACCAAGTTCTATCATGTGTCCATTTCGGCTTTAATCTTTCGTCACATCTTAATTCCAATATAAAGAACTTCAATTTTTCAATTCTTGTTCTTTAAGTTCAAATTCACCAGTATATTTAAATTTGCTTTCATTTTTATTAAAATTACTGTTCTTTATGATGATAACTTGATAATAACGATAATTAGAAAATTATTTAGACTCGCCATTTGTGTTTGCCATTAAAAAATTGAATTTTAAATAGATAGATAGGTAAATATGGTAAATATAGAAAATAAAAGAAAATTCTAAATAATTAACTACAAGATGCTTCTGATTTAAACAGGCTTAGGAGGTTAACCGCATCTCGATGTCTTCCTTGAAAAGAGATGTATTTTATAAGGCTAAAACTTTAACTGATTCACATGTTTCTTTCACTCCATCGTCATATATAATATTCTCTTCAACTTGATTTTCTTTATGAATACGCAAACGCACGTAATCAATCCACTAATTGCAAATAAAAGAAAATAATTAATTATCTCATAAAATAAATAATTGAATAAGCACATACCAATCCTCTTTTAATAAATCCTAGATAATTATAAATTTTGCATTCAACTGAATGTGGAATTCGAACCGAATCGAGTACTCGTTCTTCTGGAATTGTAATCTGATATGGTAAACAGTATTCTACCCAATCACCATCTTCAGCAATAAGTTCAAACACTTTTGAATTCGTTAAATGGGTTTTCTTTGTTTCGATTGGTTCTCCATGTTTTTGCTCTAATTCCTCATCAAACTAAGAAAATATATATTTAGTTAAGATATTTGGTAAAACAAGGCCAATAAATTTTTTACTTACTACTTCGAAAGCTTTAGTCACAAAATTTAAACCTTGAAGTCTAAAATTTTGGTTGACTTTAAAGCGCCAAATAACATCGTAAATTCCTGGTAGTACATTTGGTATATTACCCCAAACCTAATCGATAACAAATATATTTTTGATTAAGGTGCGAAATTATTTCAAAAACGGATTGTTATTATTTAGAAATTTACATCAAACCACCAAACATAATCCAAAAAAACAACTTTTCCATATTCGCTTTGAAAAAAATGATTGTTAATATTTAATATAATACTTTAATTGCAAGCTGACTTTAGAGTGATAAAGAGGGTTTTTTGAAAACAGTCTACCTTTCATCACAATCTAACGTTTTCCAGTGATGAGTATTTCCAACTCCATCCGCAGTATCTAACCAAATAACTCCACGATCTTTCGCCAAAAAACTAATTGGTCGTGCTATTTAGTAACAATCGGAATGACAATGTATTAGAACTTTTATAAGCCAAAAAATTAAATAATTACGAACAATTCTTACATAATTTCATATACATGCTTCGCCAATTGATGTTCTCGTCGAAATTTTCTTCATCCATCAACGAAGAAGATTCTGATGTATCCTTCCTTAGTCGTTCTTTCTCTTCATTGATATCTTCTTCACAGAATTGACTCGTACACATTAAATGCCATACATAATCATCTTGAAAATGTAGATATAGATTTTTGTTCACCTAAAGATTATTTATCGTAAATAATTTTGATCGACTTGATGTGATTAACGTTAACGAATAACAAAAGCTTTACCAAAGCAACTGAAAAAATGTCTCGCAAGTTTAAAAGACCAAGAATCTTTTGTATTATCTCATTAGGCAATGTTTTAAAAATATCTTTTTCCATGATATCCTTCTTTATATTGTATACTATTATAGTAAAATTTTTATTTCAAAGTCGTATGTATGTTTCCCAATTTATACGTACCGGTACGTACTTGCTACATGTATAACGATAACTAATGTTTCACATAATCACGTGCACGAGATGTACGTAGTGACCCGAACCAGACACATGGACCAGAAGTTAACTTGATATGATTGGTTTTTGGAGTATTGCCGGAATTTACCGATATGTACGTAATTCTGGCCGAATTCAAGTGAAACAGTCGTACCACTAGAAAAGCGTGACTTAAAAGAGGTTGTGACTGTGCGACGTTATAATTAGAGTAACACAAATGCTGATCTTTAATGCGATCTTACAATTGTTATGATTTTTCTCTTTACAAGCAATTGTTTCGTACAAAAATACAACTATTCAATTTGTTTAGTCAAGACGAATCAAATGGTAGTATTTTTGTACAAATCGGATCACTGGATGTCGTCCGTGCATTAGTTTGTCGATTGATCGCTAAAAGAATGAATCTCGATATCCAGCGATCTGATTCAAGCGAACTATTACCATCCGATCATCTAGTCGAGATGAATCGAATGGTAGTATTTTGCTTGAATCAGATCGCTGGATGTCGAGATATCAACCAATTGATTTTTTAACATTTGAATTCGATGAAAATCAATTTTTCATTGGTAATAGATTGCGAATTTGGGTGGTTTGAATTGTCTTCCAAATGAACTTTTCATGAAAAGCCATGTTTTGACACTAATAGAGACCAATGGAAACTATACTGTGCATTAGCATTAGGGTTCGTTATGCAGTATAAACTAAAAAAATTATCTAATTTTTTATTTTTGCATGATTTAGAGGGTCTGTTACTTATATTCTCTACTGTAAGTAATTTTGGCATTAGAAAACCTTGCTTGTCATGATAACTTGCTAACTAACGTTATTTTTTTGAGTAAATTACCTAATCCAGAGAAATTGACTTAGCATGATGTATGTGATTTAAATTTTTCTTCTCCTCAAACTTTAAGTTTTGTTAATTTAGACATGTTGTATCTTAATAATCACACGGATTCTCTTTAGCAAATTTAAACTTTAACTTAACCTCAAGGCCATTAGTACTTAAAATTTTTAAGAAATTGCATTGTGAGTCTTAATTTATTTTTTTTTAAAAAAAATTAAGGTTTCTATTTTCTAATAAGAGTTCGTTATATCGACTTGCATTGTGCAATTGTAGAGAGAAGTGATTATACAGTGTGTAATTAAAAATGGGTGCGGGTGACTCAATATTTGGCCATGTACAGTAACGACCATAAGTATCCGAACGCCCGGCATTGCCCAAAATTATACTACGTACATGTATAACGATCACCCAAATTTTCTGGTAATACGACACCTGATCGTTTGTACATTTATAGATTGGTAGAGCTTCTATATCGGATATTGTATGTCCATAAACTTTCATGGCCAAATACAATAAGTTATTTCACGCTCCGATTTGAACAAATATGGTGCACACCATCTAAAGTCATCAAACATATATTTTTTATAAAATGCATAAACTTCTCAACTAGGAAGTAAATTCAAAATTTAATCCGTAAATATGGTAGAATAAGCCTTTTTCCACCATATTTACGGATTAAGTTTAAATTTACTTCCTAGTCGAGAAGTTTATACATTTTATAGAATATAAATGTTTGATGACTTTAGATGGTGCGCACCATATACAGTTAAAGCGAACCCTTGATAAGCAAACCGCGCGTTAAAACAAAGAATTTTCAGGGACGAACCTATTAACAAAGAGCTTGATATAACGAAAAATAATATAAATAGTATTTATAACGTTAAGCGAAGCTTATTCTTGAATAACCCGAGACCTTCGGTTTATCGAACTTTAACCGAACTACTATTCGATTTGTCTCGACTAGACGAGTCTAATTGTTCAAATCGGATCACTGGATCCTAAAGTAACCAATTGACATTAACAAAAATTGATCAGCCAGTGATCCGATTCGAACAAAAATAATATCAGTCAATTTGTCTTAACTGACGAATCGAATAGTATTATTTTTGTTCGAAGCGGATCACTGGAGGTCGGGATATTTCGACCGATTCATTTTTTTGGCGATCATTATTAATGAAAAATTGATCGACAAATATGAATTTGTCACTAGCGCTAGCGCTAGGATGTAAATCTCGACATCCAATGTCACGATTTGAGCGAAAATATCGCCATTTGATTCGCCTAGTTAGACAAATCGGGTCGCTGGAAGTCGATATATTATGTCCTAAAGTGACCGATTTATTGTATTTAGGGCATAAAAGACGGGTAGGCGTAATGACGATTTCCTGTGCCGATATCTGCGGATATCGTTCAGTATGACGGTAGAGAGGGGAATTTAGCAGATTTGGGTTTTTGGGTACGATGGTTTTGGGTTTTATGTTTTTATGTGACGGTTTAACGATAATATTCCTATTAACATCTAATCGTTGCTTTTTCTAGCTAAAAGCCTTTAACTGTTTAATCACAAAGCGCTTTTTCAATCAATCAATATGCCGTTTAACAATATCAACGCCTTTTCTGGACTAAAGGACCTAACCACAATCAATTACAACAATTTACAAGTCTAATTTTACTTGGAGAAGAATTGTACGTAATTTAATTCTGCATTTTTATTAACGTCCGCGAAATAGAAAACAAAGGTGAGATTGAAATAGAAAAGCGAAATTAAAATAGAAAACAGATAAATATAGACTAACGAAATCGGGCCAGGCTGGTTTTACCAAAATTGAGAGATTAACGAAATTAACTCTAGCCTGGTAACAGTAGTATATGTATAATTTTGGACAATGCCGGGTGTTCGCTACTGTATAACTAGCTGTGGTTATTTATTCTCTTAAAAACACACATTTATACATAATTAATTATTACAATTTAGTTGGGATGCTTTGAGGAAAATTAAACAAATTCTCAGGATCATATATATTCTTTATCGCTACTAATCTTTCCAGATTTTCACCATAATACGCATACAAATAGTTCGGCAAATCAGAATCGATATAATTCTGATAACTATATGGTGATGCATAACGCGCTTGGAATTCTATACCAAAAGAATTTACGGCATTTTTGCACTCTTCAGCAATATCAGGTTTTTTCCACTGTGACAACATTTGGATACCGAATGCTACATCGCGATGAACAAATGCAGTAGCACGTTTAGGGATCCGGCCAACAGCACCGTTAAAAATATCCATCAGAGAAAAAATATCACAATCCGGATTAACTGTTTTCAGAAATTCGTCCATAAAAGCGATTCCTTCATCGGATAAGCCTTCTGGACCGATCAAAAAGGATTTAGCTTTGAAGGCATATGGTGCTAGTACAGGGTTCATGACAGCTTGAATAGTTTCTTCACCAGAAAAATAAAATACGGAATCAAATAATGTTCGTGATTCTTTTGTCACAACTGTATAACCAGGAGCCGCGGATAGCCATTCACTCAATTCTTTATCAAGTTCCGAGGGTGGTCCTAAAAAGATGCCATTAAATACAAATCTGTCTTTAGCCCAATTAGTAATTGTCGTTATACGATCGGTGCCATGTGCAGAAAATTTGACCATCGCAGGAATAAATTTATGGGCAATTGCTGTGCTCG